ATTGTCTCGTATTTCTTATTACAGACACCGTTTGGGAAGTATTCGGGAAAGTTAGCGATGAATATCATATGCCGTCTCCAGAGGTCTTGAACTTCCTTCTCATCCTTATATACTCTCAGATAGTTTTGCACCAAATTTGGGCCCCAATTCTCGATGTTCCTGGTGTTGAGGATGTTGTTATTGCTCTGTTCGGTGTATAGACAGGGTAGACCCGCCACCACCATATCAGTCACGTGGTTGGGGTAGATGGCGGCCAATACCAGTGCCACTCTGGCCCCTTCAGACCAGCCCAACACAAAGAACTTCTTGTGACCCAAATTCTAGCCATAAAAATGTGAATCAATTTAATTGAAAAATAATTCACTGAAACAAACAAATAATTTATTTTCATTAATAGCGAGACAAACCTCCATCAGTTTGATACACGTTTCGGCGTCAAAATTGTAGGCATTTTTGTTGATCTTTCTGATGGGTGGTCGCGATCGGCCCCAACCGGCCAACTCTATGGCATAGGCTGTAAACTGAGTCAAATCTAATGCATTCTCGCCTAACAGTTGCTCGTAATAGTCGGTTCGACCCGTTCCTACACATCATTCACACATTTAGCAAGTACAAATACACTTAATTATACAAATACAATTATATTGATGGATAAGTTACAGACCTATAGCGCCGGGAATCATGAGCAGAATATTAGCACCGGTACCAAACTTTTCGTACCAAATTGGGTATCCATTGATGTCAAACTTACCACTCTCAGTTTCGACCATTTTTCTAGCGATATAATGATGTTATGGATTGAGAAATAAATATATTTTGTGAACTGAAGTGAGGCACTCGTGAACCAGTAGTGACTTAAAAAATAAGCACAATATTAAGAAGTGATTATAAATTGGTTTTCCTCATAATAGACGTCATCCAGGCATCTAATAATCACATGAATTGTACTGATTTTGCTATATCTTACGATATCGCTAAAGAACTGGTTATAAGGCCTGCCCTTTAAGCTTAATTAAGGCTAAAATTTTTATTTGATAAATTTCCATTTTTTGTTATGGGATTTCATAAGACCGTATTTTACGTATATGTCAATTGAAAAAATACTATATCTGATTTATTATTATAATAAATACATACTTTCTACTTGTATTTACCTGTATTGAATAATTTTAACTAAAATTAGCAAATATGGGAAGTTGTTTATAGTTTATAACAGTATTATTTTGTACCGTTAATAATCAATTATCACGCAATGTTTTACCATTTGCAATACACATATTTAGTAATCATTACATACAAAATAAGTGAATATATTTAAAAAGCAATTTACACATTTACTTAACTGTATCTATATTAAGAAAGTTAGTTTTGTACATTATTTATAGAAAATCATAGTTCTACATTTATTGATAAAAATAAACATCTGTTACAAACACTTCTAATAATTGAATCTAGCAAAATTATTTAGAAATTGTCCTACAGTATAAAAAATACAATAAAATTCTTTATAATACAAATGGTTTTGAAATACAAATTCCTTGAACTGGAGTAAAACAGCTTTAGATATTTATGTGAGCTTACATGTAAGTGCATCTATAATAAACTTATACTGTAGTTGTTATTACAGGGAAAATGTTTAACTTTTGTTATACGGCACAACATATTTATTGAGTGCATAACTAATAAGCAGTGAATAAATTTTATACAAATTAGAAATGGGTTACATTTGCAAATCAAATATTCAATAACATTTTGGTCTAAAAATGATTATGGTCCTAGTAATGTCCCCATTTTCTAAATTACAGACAATAGTAACAATA